TTCAGTGGCTACACGTTAACCCCAACAAACTGTAATACAATAAACAACTTAACTTTGATAATCCCACAAATATTTGACAAACACAGTGTGAAAAATACTCTTAAGTACTAAGGATATCATAGTAAATATAAGCTTCCTGTCTTACACAGCTTAGAGTGTTGTGAGGGAGACAATAATTTTAATAAGGACTTTAGACTCTACATGAGGGTAAGGGCTGGGTGCTGTGGGCACTCTTAACAGAGGCAGATCCCCAGGTTGAAAGTGTCAGAGGACATTTCCCAGATTGCCTTCCAAGCTGAGACTTGAGGACTGTGTGGGAATGAATGAGGAGCAGATTTGGTAGGGATGTTAGAGAAGTGAGGAGGAGGATGAAGAGTGTTTTAGGTCAAAGGAATAGTGTATGTGAAGGCCCGAAATGAGAAACTAGCACACGTGATAAACTGAAATGCAGCTGTGGGTACTGTGGGCTTGGTCAGCACCATGAAGCTGAAGAAAGCCATGCTTGACTTCTGTTCTGTTTTCCTTACACCCTGTACTCTGTCTCAGTAAATCCCAGTGGCTCCACCCTCAACATACATTCACAATCAGACTACTCTCAGCCCCTTGACTGCCTGCTCCACCCACCATGTCCAAGCCACCATCATCTCTTGTCAGAGATTCCACACTGGTGTCCTCATCTCCCTGCTTCCTCCTATAGAGTCTCCACATTTTAACCAGTTATCACTGAATAATGAAAATCAGGTCATGGCACTCCTCAAATCTTCAAAAGCTTGCTTTCTCACAGTAAAAGCCAGTGTCTTTCCAAAGGCCTGGAGTACGATATGATCTGAGGTCACACTCCTTCTCTGACTTTACATCCTGTTCTGACCCGTTTGTTCTCTCCACTGCAGCCACTGGCCTCATTGCTATTCCTCAAACATACCAGGCATGCTCCAGCTTAAAGTCCTTTGTACTCGCTGTGTACTTCCCGTGGCCTAAATTCTTTTCTCCAGGTAACCACAAAACATATGCCTTCACTTCTTTATTTACACTCAGGTGTTACCCTATTAATCAGAGAAGTGACACTTTAACCTTCTTATGGAAAATGGTAACTCTGGCCTCTGCATATGCCTTTTCTTTCTATTTCTCACACATAATACATTAAATATTTGCTTTAAAATTTTGCTTATATCTTTTTCAACTACAAATATAGTTTCTGTGGAAGTGAGTAATTCATTGTGTGCACTATCATTTGTATTCCTGGTGCCTAGAAGCAGTTTTCCATATTTATTTATTAAGTTAATTTTAAAAATGGGCCTATAGTGCAGGGAGCTGGCATGTTTCCATTTGGAAATTTTCTCTGGCTGCAGTGTGGAGAATGGACTGGCAGGGATCGAGATCTGAAGGTGAATTCTTAGGAGCTGTGTGCTTCTGTGGCTGAACATTTGAGTTGCTGCTGATATTTAACACTTTTCAACAATATGCATGTTGAAAAAAATCTCATTTCTTTATTCACTGAGGTCTATGTGAGCTCTTAATGTGTTTGTTTACCAGTATTTCTAGCAGGTAGAGTGATGCAGACATCTTGCATTCGCCCTCCACTAATTTGGGGTTGCGTCATTTATCCCTAAAGTGTGTCTCCAACAGAACCAGGCTTGCTCAGCCTCTCCAGTGACTGGGGAAATCGGTGGGATGGACCAGCTGTGACTGAAAATGCTCTAAGTTCTTCTTTATAATTGGGTGGCAATCAAATGTGTGTTTACGTATAAACACCAGCTAGGCCAGGCTATAACATGTCAGCTGTAATTAGGCAGCCAATTTAGCACAGCAGTGCTATCATGTAAAGTAAGCCCTGTCACCTCAGCCTCCAACAGAAAAGGTGCAATCAAGTTTAACCTGCAAATAGATTGCTTTTTGGAAGTCAGGAATCAGTTTATGCCATTATCATATCTGACATTCTCAAGGTTACACAGTTTTGTAGTTTCTAGGCCGTAATTATCCTGAATTATATCCAGTGTTGCCAGTTTCACAATAATCTATGTATAAATCACTGTATTTAGTAGAGAATTGGCTAATAAAACATGTAAGCAGCTGCATTGCTAGTCATATGCTGTTAAAATGTAACATGGAGCTCAGATGGTTTTATATTTTAAAATACAAATGTATGTTAGCAGATAAACTCGCCTCTAAAGTGGAGTATTTAGCCTATCTGAATATTGTTGACACAACTTAATTTTTGGAAAGTTTTTTTTTACTATTTATTTTATTTTTTGCTACCTCTTATAAACAAATCACGCTGAAATCGTTTGCCATATCTGCAGGCCCTTAATACTTGTTAATATAGGAGGTCCTTGTTCTCTCAATATTAATGTGTGTGTGTGTGTGTGTGTGTGTGTGTGTCTGTGCGCTCAGTCATATCTGACTCTGCAATCCCATGGACTGTAGCACACCAGGTCCCTCTGCCCATGGAATTTTCCAGGCAAGAATACCAGACTGGGTTGCTGTTTCCTTTTCCAGGGGATCTTCTCAACCCAGAGATCAAATCCACATCTCTTGCGTTCCCTGCATTATCAGGCAGATTCTTTACCATTGTGCTACCTGGGAAGGCCCTTAGTATTAAAAGTCCACTTAAATGAATCAATAGCAAATGAGCGTCAGGAATTCAAAGTAAATAGTGAAAAAAGTTTGTTTCTTAATCCTGAAGAATAAAATTGAACTCAAAAGTGAATGTATTTTATCTTTATTTAGTCTAATAATTATGTATTCATACCAATTATTAGAATGTACAAAGATACAAACTACAAAAGGTCACTCAAGAAATGATAGATAACCTAAAGAGCCCTTTGTATTAAATAATTTAAATTTGTAGTCTTAAACCTTAGCACAAGGAAAGCCCAGGGCCAGAGAGCTTCACAAGTGAATTCCACCAAACATTTAAGGGAGAAATAAAACTGATTCTGCACAAACTCTTCTGGAAATGTGAAGAGGGATGGATACTTCCTAACTCATTCTATGAGGGCAGTTTCACCCTGATACCAAAACCAGTTACTTGTTTACCCATGCTTATGTTTATTATTGGGGCTTCCCAGGTTAAGAACTTGGTGCTAGTGGTTAAGAACCCACCTGCCAATGCAGGAGATATAAGATCCCTGGGTCAGGAAGATCCCCTGGAGGAGGGCATGGCAACCCTCTCCTGTATTCTTGCCGGGAAAATCACATGGACAGAGGAGCCTAGAGGGCTCTATAGGGTTGCAAAGAGTCGGACACGACTGAAGTGACTTAGCAGGCACATGATTATTAAAATACACTTTTGTGTTGAACTGAAGAAGTGGTTTTCAAACATGATCATGCATAAGAATACCTGTGGGAGCCTGTTAGATGTGCAGATTGCCAGGCTGTCTCTTCTCCCCCAGGGGTCCTGAATCATGGGTGTGGTGCTGGTGGCGGGGGCATCCAGAAATTGCAAGTTCAGTAAGCTTCCCAGGCAATTTTGATGTATGTATGCATAGACTATATTTCAGGATCACTTCTTAGCAGAACATTGTTGACATCAAAATTGCATGAACCTGGATGAACCCTGTGGACCACTGGTGCCAGGTTGAAATAGTATTCTTGATCTGGTTCTACATGTGTGTTTACACCAACCTGTCAGAAAGGGGAGCTGACTTATTTGGAAGGGGTGACACATTTTCATTTTGTCTGTGCTGGCTGATATTCATGATGCCTGCTCTCATTAGAACATAAAAGTTGTACAGGTGATTGAAAAAATTAAGTTGGTAAAGGTTTTTCTTTCCTCCGTTTCTTCTCCTGCATATTATTCATTGACCTGCATTTAGTGTTTTGTATAATATTCATGCACTATATATCATGCTTTCATCAGACCTTTCAATAGTGAAAGGACAGGGGCACCAGATGGAACTACTTTTTATTTTATCTGATACCTTTAAAAACTAAACATGCAGTAGTGCATGCATGCATGCTAAGTAGCTTCAGTCGTGTCCAACTCCTTATGACCCTAGGGACCATAGCCCATCAGCCTCCTCTGTCCGTGGGATTCTCCACTGAAGTGGATTGCCATGCCCTCCTCCAGTAGGTCTTCCTGACCCAGGGTTTGAACCCGCTTCTCTTATGTCTCCTGCATGTAGTAGAAGCAATATTAATTCACCACTTTTAAATTTGAGATCATGGAGAGCAGTAAAGCCTTCCCATAATGCATTCATTTTTGTGCCTTTCCAGAGATAAATTTATGTCATCTATCAAAGTATAGCATGTTTTACCTTCTTAAGCACTTATAAACTGCCAGGAAGTAATGTTTTGTGTGTTTGTTCTGTTAGAAATAATGCCTTGGTGTGATCAGGGTGGTGGGGGTGGTGGGGTGGGGAGAAGGGGAGACAGCCATTTGCTTCCTGGCCTGATCCCCATCAGTGACAAGCATGGCAGTACTGGCAGCTGTTGTCACGGAGTCCTAGAGCTGTGGAATACAATTTTTCTTGCAGTAAATGAGAGCAGCTGTGTAGTATAGAGCTCATGACTTCAGGATTTTGTACTGGACGTGCTATTAAGAGTGAACTGACTTTGCCTTTGGGTCAAAAGGCTATGGGGCCAGGTATATACAACATGTCTGGGGCTTTGAAGATAGGGGCCAGTTTTAACTCGACTGTGCTGATCTGTCTTTTCTGGAAAAAAAAAAAAAGGCAGAGCTTTTAATAGAACCAATATTCTAGGTCTCGAGTATGTGATTTGATCATTAAAAAACATATATGTGAAAGTGATGAAGAAATGTATACTGTAGACAGATCATAATGCAGAACTAAAAAGCAGAGCTGGACTACTTTAAAAAAGTTACGCATGCATTTCTGAACCTGAAGAATGAGTGTCAAATATATCTGAAAAAAATCAAAATTTGGTTGCTTGCTTAGGGGATCATAGATGTTTTGTTCACTCTCATAAGTGATGTGGCTGGATAGTCCTTACTGCCTTTTTAGTAGTATATTTTTTGTTTGTTTGTTTGTTTTCCACAGATATGATGCAATTATTATCTCAGGAACTGAAATGGCCAAACAAATCCAGAAAGAAATCCAGCATGGCGTGGATTCTTGGGTTTCCCTTGGGAACAGAAGGCCTCACCTCAGTATCATATTAGTGGGTGATAACCCAGCAAGCCACACATATGTCAGGAGGAAGATCAAAGCCGCAGCTGCTGTAGGTGGGGAGCATTTTAGCTGTACTTGTTACTAGATAACGTTTCCTGGTTTTACTTCAAAGTGTGATAATTATGAGTGATAACTGTTGACTAAATGCTATTTGAATAGCATGTGTTATTATTATTTATTGCCATTCTGTTGATTATTTAGTTCCCAACATTCACATTCATTTCTTACTCTTTTTTTCCTTCAAATTTCTTTAAATCAACTTGGTGTGATTTCTTATCCTATTGGGAAACATGAGAGCAACTTGTTACATTTTAAGGGCCTTTTTTTTTTTTTAAATCACATTAACCTGCCTAGTTCATGGTGGTGGTGGTGGTGGTACTGGTATTTTTACTCTTCTCAAATCCATTAACAGCAGCTCATCACAAATAAGTGCAATTTGTCGCAGGGAATACTGGGCCAAAGAATGCATGTGAATCATAAGAAAACATCTGTACCATTTAAAAGTTCCCTCCTGATGGTGCTTTGAACATCACTTTTGTAGGAGGGCCTTTTCTTTCAGTGGGACAAGAACAGAGGGAACCAATCAAACACCGTGTAAGACACCATTAATGAAACACACATCTTCGTTAGTCCAGTGACTTTCTGTTCTTGTTTTTCTTTCAGGTATCTGTAGTGAGATCATTCTAAAACCTAAGGATGTTTCTCAGGAAGAACTGTTGGATATAACTGATCACTTGAACGCGGACCCGAGAGTCAGTGGTATATTAGTTCAGTTGCCACTGCCAGGTATATAATGCTCTTCTGTGTGTCTAATTCGGTTAGGGACAAGGACATCTTTCAACATTATGTCATGACACCACAAGTCATTTATAAAATAGGTTTGGAAGGGGACTAGCTATTATAGTCACATTCAAGGTGGCAATTTCTGAATGACATGTTTATAGTGACTGAAAATTGTGAAAGAAAACTTTAGGCTTTGGCAATAATACATGCAGTTCTTGTTTTGCACAATAGTGCAAGACCATGAAAATGACTAAGTTGAACTCGGGCAAAGGATCTTAACAAATCAATAGGAAAATAACAATTGTTCTGTGACCTTTAAAATGTTTTCTCGAAACATTAAAAACTCTTTTACCACAGTTTATAAATGTGTAAGGAGATGAAAGCTGTGGTTTTTCCAGTAGTCATGTATGGATGTAAGAGTTGGACTATAAAGAAAGCTGAGTGCCAAAGAATTGATGCTTTTGAACTGTGGTGTTGGAGAAGGCTCTTGAGAGTCCCTTGGACTGCAAGGAGATCCAACCAGTCCATCCTAAACAAAGTCAGTTCTGAGTGTTCATTGGAAGGACTGATGTTGAAGCTGAAACTCCGCTACTTTGACCACCTGATATGAAGAGCTGACTTCAGTGGAAAAGACCCTGATGCTGGGAAAGATTGAGGGCGGGAGGAGAAGGGGACGACAGAGGATGAGATGGTTGGATGGCATCACCAAGTCAATGGAGATGAGTTTGAGTAAACTCCGGGAGTTGGTGATGGGCAGGGAAGCCTGGCGTGCTGTAGTTCATGGGGTCGCAAAGAGTTGGACATGACTGAGTAACTGAACTGAACCGAAGGAGATGAAAAAAATAGTGAAACTAATATTTATCCAGTACACTGTAATTTAAAACATTGGAAACATCGAGCGTTAAAGTACTTTATTTCATTGTCAGAATCTTATCAAGAGGAGTTTGAACAGTTACTTGCCTTCTTCTCATCATATAACTTATATGGAGCAAGTATTTTTTTCTATGCCTCGGTGAATTGAATTGTCAAATTCTTTTTAAGTTTGGATTAACTTCCATTTTGTCCTTTCAAGGTCTTGAAATATCTCTGAGAGTTTCTTTAGTGTGAGGTTTGATTCTGGTGTCACTTCCTCTGGGCGTTGTCATCCTTTTTGTTCCTCATTTATTTTGATCCGTTTGTGATGACTAAGTTCCTTTGGCTTCATAGCTGCATCATTCCAAAGGACATGGTATCAGCATTCTAGGGTCTTTTCCTGTTTCTTGTACAACCAACCCATTTACAGTCCATTAGAATCCTATTGAAGTGACTTTACCTTGTCTTTTACATTCATGGCCCTTACCTTCTTGCTAGCCTAGGTCTCTTCTATCTTTGCCTTACTGTTGCCATCCTCAGATCTTCTATTCACATCCAATTTTCACTTCCAGCATCATCACATTTATTTCTTTGTTGAACTTTCATCTTTATGGGCTAATTCCCTCTTTTGATTATGTACTTTTTTGAAATGTCAGTGAATCTATCCCTGAAACCCAAGGAGGCAACATAATTTGCTATCTATGTTTGAACTGAGTAACGGATGTACAGTGAACAAGCACTGACAGACTTTGAAAAGACTGACATGTTAGTCACTGATTATGAGGCTCATCTGTTACTTACATAGTGATATTTGGACCAAAGAGTTGGCATACAGTCACTTCAGTCATGTCTGACTCTTTTCAGTCCTGTGGACTGTAGCCCTCCAGGCTCCTCTGTCCACAGGACTCTCCAGGCAAGAATACTGGAGTGGGTTGCCATTCCCTCCTCCAGGGGATCCTCCTAATCCAGGGATCAAATCTGCATCTCTTAATGTTTCCTGCTTTGGCAAATGGGTTCTTTACCACTAGTGCCACCTAAGAAACCCATCATACAGAAGTGGGTTGCCACTCCCTTCTCCAGGGAATCTTTCTGACCCAGGGTTTGAACCTGGGTCTCCTGCTTTGCAGGCAGTTTCTTTACTGTCTGAGAGTTGGCAGCTCTTATATAATTACTCACAGTTAAGACGCCTTGATAACTAACATTTGAACTGTGTTGTTGGAAGACAGGTGTCATTTGACTAAATTATAGCTCTGAAGTTCATGCATATTTCAATGAGCAAAGCAAGGAGTAGCCTAAATATTATAGATTATAGTAGTTTTGTACAGTTTTGAATTCCTTTATAGGTTTTGACTTGCAGAAAGTAAAGCTGAATGATGCAATTGTCTGTGTTCTTTGTATGGTACTAATATTTTAATTTATCTAATAATATAACTTAATATTCTAGTATATGTTGTAACATTTGTGCTGTTTAAATTACACTCCAAATTCACATTTATAATTCTTTTCCTCTTATATGGCTGCATTTAAAATATCAAAAAGTTGGAACGAATCTTAGAAGTTAGTAAGGTTTGCCCTTAAGAAAAATGCTTCTGACAGATAATACTATAGATTCATCATGTTAAAATTAGCATAGTGATTTATCCCATACTTTTATAAGTACAAAAGGAATTCAACACATACAGCACACTCATTTGATATTATAGAAGATTAGGACCTAGAAAATATCAGGGATATATTAACATCACAAGTCTGTCCAAAATATTTTTGACATTGAGTTTAAACCCAATTGTTTGGCTCATGCAAAATAAAAATCTTTTTTTTTTTTTGGTACTGCTGTATTTGCCAGGCAATGTTTCTGTGGTTTTCAGTTTTTAAATTTCCCCCACTTACATTTGTATCCAATTCAAATTGTTATAGAAAACGTATCACAGATTTCTAAATGTCTAGTTTATCTTAAAGAATTAAATTCACATCTGTAGAAAATGTACCCCTTTATGGGCAATATTCCTCCTTATTGAATTTGCTAGCAATTTGCCACTAGATGGCAATGGTGATCTGCTTGTACTAAAATAAATTGCTTGAGTCCTGTGTACATTTTAGAAATATACAAGCAGCTCATGCAGCTCAATACCAGAAAAATAAATGACCCAATCAAAAAATGGGCCAAAGAACTAAACAGACATTTCTCCAAAGAAGACATACAGATGGCTAACAAACACATGAAAAGATGCTCAACATCACTCATTATCAGAGAAATGGAAATCAAAACCACAGTGAGGTACCATCTCATGCTGGTCAGAATGGCTGCTATCAAAAAGTCTACAAACAATAAATGCTGGAGAGGGTGCAGAGAAAAGGGAACCCTTTTACACTGTTGGTGGGAATGCAAACTAGTACAGCCACTATGAAGAAGATACGGTGTAGAGATTCCTTAAAAAACTGGAAATAGAACTCCCATATGACCCACTGCTGAGCATACACACCCAGAAAACCAGAATTGAAAGACACGTGTGCCCCACTGTTCATCGCAGTGCTGTTCACAGTAGCTAGGATATGGAAGCAACCTAGATGTCCATCGGCAGATGAATGGATAAGAAAATTGTGGTACATATACACAATGGAATATTACTCTTAAATATTGCTATTAAAAAGAACACATTTAAAGCAGTTCTAATGAGGTAGATTAAACTACAGCCTATTATACAGAGTGAAGTAAGTCAGAAAGAAAAACACCAATACAGTATATTAATGCATATAAGTGGAATTTAGAAAGGTGGTTAACAATGACCCTATATGCAAGACAGAAAAAGAGACACAGATATAAAGATCACACTTGTGGACTCTATGGGAGAAGGTGAGGGTGGAATGGTTTGAGAGAATAGCATTGAAACATGTATATTACCATATGTGAAATAGATCACCAGTCCAAGTTCGATGCATGAAACAGGGCACTCAAAGCCCATGCACTGGGATGACCCTGAAGAATGGGATGAGGAGAGAGGTTGGAGGGGGGTTCAGGATGGGGGACACATGTACACCCATGGCTAATTCATGTCAATGTATGGCAAAAACCACTACAATATTGTAAAGTAATTAGCCTTCAATTAAAATAAATTAATTGATTTAAAAAAAAGAAACTGAGAAGCAAGAGCCAGAGGGATATGGTGATAACACTTATCTGGATGCTTTGAGAAAGGGCAGTCTTCTACCTAGCTGAAGAGCCAATAGCATACAAAATAACACTGATTAAAATTTAGCATTTATTATGTCTTATACTCTTTGCATTTATTGATTCACTGGATCCTCACAGTTTCCCAATGCAGATGGGGAGCTATTATTATGTACATTTTACTAATGATGAATTTGAAGTACAGAGAAGTTATGTAACTTTCTCTAAGGTCACAGAGCTGGCAATTGAGCTGGGATGTGAACCCAGGCTGGCAGGTCCCTCATGCCTTTACCATTATGTTACCACCTTCACCAACTTGTCAGTGTTAACTCTTGAGTAACGTGTGCTTACCATGTGGCAACTATTCTTTTATAGGGATGATTTTATTTAATCCTCAAAACAGCTTTATGGGTAGGCATTATCTTCTTCATATTGCAGGTGAGAAGACTAAGCTATATTCCTTATCAACTTAAAGTACATTATACTAGTACATAAAATTTTTTGCTTACCAGAATAAGCTGGAATTCTCCAGGCAAGAATATTGGAGTGGGTAGCTGTTCCCTTCTCCAGGGGATCTTCCCAACCCAGGGATCAAACCTAGGTCTCCTGCATTGCAGGCTGATTCTTTACCAGCTGAGCCACAAGGCAGGCCCAGGAAACCATAACACAATGCAGTTACCTTGAACAATGTGTTATAACATAAAGTATTTAAATTAATTCATCAATCTTGTGATGTAGGTTTTCAGGGAGGATGACATTTTCCCTTCTTGGTTCTTCTGTCTGGTCTAGGAATTAAGTTGACCTGAGATAGATTAACAAGAGAAAAACAAACAAAAGTTTAGTAACTTGTGTACTTGGGAGAGACTCAGGAAAACTGAGTGACTCACCAAAATGGTTTTAGCTCTCACCTTAAATACTATTGGACATGGAGAAAGGAAGGGAGTTCCAAAAAAACATCTACTTCTACTTTATTGACTATGCT